AGAATCAAACACCGAAAAGGAAGACATTAGTAGCACAAGGGATGGTCAAACTTTATGATCCTTTGTATGTAGAGTTGAATAGGTCACAAAATTTGACTCTCACATTATATAGATTAAGCTCCCCCTAAATATATGCATACATATGGTAGAAGGCAAAGCATATGCATAGTTGGCAAATTATTGCTTAAGGGAATTTAATCTATATAATGCATGGAGAAAGCATATAAATATCAAAATTAAATCAACATGATGATATCGGTTTAGAAATACCACATGTGGAAACCAATTTGATTTTTACGATTTGCAATAGATGGTGTATACTTGAAGTATGAAGTTTAACTCTGGGGACTCCATTTTCCTTACAATGAGACTACTACACACATGATAAGCTTAAAAGGATGTTAGTCTCAAAGCATCCAACTTGTAGAGTAACCTCCCCCTAAATTTATGCACACAAGTGTGGGATACTTGTAGAAGTCATGCACATTGATTTTAGAATCAATAATACCACTTGAAAGAAGACATCTCATGAATGTGAGAATCATTTTCGAAGATGATATTCGGGAGAAATTATCTACAATTTGGACTTTGGCACATATTAGGTGAACAATCAAAAGACAAGCTATGTGTCATGCTCCTAAACAACTTTAAACCATGTAGGTTTGCTCCAAGGGTTAAGAATGAAATCGAGCAAGCCTATCATAAGATATACCTAGTGTATGCATGACAAAAGATATAAGCATGTAAATACAAACATAGGCATGAAACATAACTAGATGCTTAAAGATACTAATTTTTAAGAAATACCACTTGTAGGAAATGCAAATTGATACTACTTAAAGGAAATTGAATCTAGTTACCTAACATGAGAAGGGGAATTTAGGTCTATAGTATTCACTAACCCACTTGGCAATGATTTTGTCCATCATGATGCACCCCATGAAATGCACCCATACTTTGCCAAGTCTCCAAATTCCTCAAAGTCCATTTGACTACTCACTCCCCTTTCGGGATCCAAACATTTTTTGTGCTCTTCATGTTGGAAATGATTTCCTTTGGCACCCAAAAGCGTTTGACCTCATTGTTGACTTGCTTGTTCACCTTGATGGCCACCACCTTGTTATTTTTCTTCTTCTTTAACAAGTATGGTGTGGATGCCTTCTTGTCCACCTTGTTGGTGTAAGTGTTGGAGAGCTTGCTTGTTTGCTTCTTCTCTTTCTTCTTTGCTCCTCCCTCATTCTTCACCTTGCACTCATAGGACTTGTGACCTTCCTTGTGGCACACGTAGCAAACCACGGTTTGTCTTTCATCAAGCTTCTTCACTCCCTTGACGGTGTTATCTTGATGAAGTTGGGCTTGCTTCGCCTTGCCTTTCACTTAAGTCAAGTCCTTGGTGAAGCGAGCTACTTCTTGCTTGAGTTGCTCATTCTCCTTTGCAACCTCTTGTGTGCATGTATCTACAACAATTTTCTCAATACAAACTTGGTTGCACAAGGATGAGTCTAAATATAAATCATTGCAAGAAGTAGAGGCATCCTTTTTAAACATGTTAAAGATAGAACTTTTTCTTTTAGATGCCTTGGTGGGGATTGCACTAACGGCTTCAAGATTAGCAACTTTATTAGTTAGCTCATCATAATGTTTGCACATAGTTTCCATTTTAACAAGCAAACTTTTATAAGCATCTTGTGAGCTAGCTAACTTTTCTTTTAATTTTTCATTTTTCTTTACAAGTTGCTCATCATTAATTGTGCATGCATTTGTTGTTGCATTAGCCTTAATTTGCTCAATCTTAGTAGATAGTTCAACATTGAGATTAGCAAAGTTCTCATATTGTTCAAGCAAAGTTTTGTATGCTTCTTGTGAACTACCTAGCTTTTCTTTTAATTTTTCGAGCTTCTTTTGTTGACTAGTGCAAACTTTAGCATAATTAAGATTTTGTTGCACAATTTCATCATAAGAAGGCATTTCATCATCACTATCACTCTCACTAGAGGATGAGCTTTCGTTACCTCGTGCCATAAGGCACATACGAGAAGAGCTTGATGATGAGTGCTTGCGCCCTCACCTCTTGTGATGGTGTTCTTCTTCACTTGAAGAATCATCCCATGACCTTATTGATGTGAGGGCTTGCTTCTTGCATGCCTTCTTCTTTGTCTTCGGTGTGGGCTTGTTTGGACAAACTTCCACAAAGTGCCCCAACTCATCGCATCCATAGTATCCTCTCTTTCTTTGCTCATTTCTTTGATTGGTGAAAATGAGATCTTGGATTTGGATGGGCACACCCTTGACATTGAGCCTTTGGATCATCTTCTCCACCTTATTGATTAGTTTGATTGATTCTTCATCAAGGTTGGAGGTGGAGGAGAAAGATTGATCATCTTTACTTAAATCTTCATCATCATCGTTGTCCTCATCTTCTTCTTCATCTTCACTTGAGGAGTTTGAGCTTGAGCTTGTCTCGACTTGCTTGTCCTTCATCTTCTTTTTCTCGCTACATGCGATAGCTTTGCTTTTGCTCGATGAAGAGACTTTGTCTTGACCCATCTTACATGACATTTCAAATGCCACTATCTTGCCGATGACTATGCCCGAGGTCATGGTGCTCAAGTTCTCCATGTTGTGAAGGATGGTGATGATGCTTGTATATTTCTTTTGTGGTAGCACGGAGATGATCTTCCTCACGATATCCGTATCATCTAGCTTTGTTAATCCTATTGAATGGAGCTCATTGATAATTAGATTCAAACGAGAATACATATCACGAACAAGCTCATCATCATTCATTGTAAATGAATTATAATTTTGTTTAACTAGACAATGTTTTTGCTCACGGACATTAGATGCGCCGTCATAGAGCTCTTGGAGTTTTAACCAAATTTCATGTGCCGTATTTTAAGTGAACACTTGGTTAAACACATCCATGCTAAAAGATTCAAACAAGCAATTCTTAGCTCTAGCATTGAAATGTATTTTTTTCTTCACTCTTTGTGGGTTTATCGGGATTCTTAATGGGTTTTATCCCATCACGAGTGACTCTCCAAACTCTCAAATTAACCGCCTCAAGGTAGCAAGTCATTCTAACTTTATAATAGGGGAAGTTAGTGCCGTCAAAGTGCGGAGGCCTAAAGGTATCCATCCCAACCACTCTAAATAGCGTCGGCTCAACGGCGGTTAAACCAAAGGTCCAAATTGAGCCAATCTGCTCTGATACCAATTGTAGGGGACCGTGACGCCTAAGAGGGGGGTGAATTTGGCAACTTAAAAATCTAACTCTAAACTATGACCTATTTTCTAACCTTACCAAAACCTATGCAAAAGATAAACTATCTAAATGTGCAACTACGGTTTTGCTAGTGTGTTGCTATCTCTACCGCAAAAGAAGTAATACAATCAATGTAAATGCAGAAGCTAAAGATCAAGGTAGAGATATACAAACTCCCGTCGACGACTCTGGTATTTTTACCGAGGTATCGAGAAGCGCACAAGCTTCCCCCTAGTCCTCGTTGGAGCCCATCGCAAGGGACAAGCTTCCGATCGGGTAACTCCGTGGATAGCCTCGGGCCTTCCCACGCGCAAGTGGGTCTCTGACGTACCTTCTGGCAAGCCTCTCCTGGATGCTCTCCGCCGTCTTCACTATCAAGCTTCCGACCGAAATGCTACGGGCCTTGTTCCCTCCGGAACACGGTGGCGGCCACACCACAAACGCGGTTGGTGTGATCTCGCAAGACTACAAGCCCCTCCGATATACAACAATGGTGTGCGCAAGCACCGAGTGGTAAGAGGTATGCAAACCTCACTAGGCCTAAACCTATAGCAAGCGCATAAGCGGTGGTCTAATCAACCTAAGCACTTTGTAAAGCACCTACGCTAATCACATAATGAATCACTAAGCAATATGTAAGTGGAGATCACTAAAATGGTGTATCAACACGCTTGATATGTTTTCTCAGCTCCACACACACTCAAATGGCCGGTTGAGGGGTCTATTTATAAGTCCCACTGAGAAAGTAGCCGTTGGGGACGAAATCAATTCGTTTACATCGACCAACTCTAACCAGGTTGGTTCGGTTAAGACTTGACGGGACGCTGGCCCGGTCCACGTCAAACTCGCTCTCGAGCCTTTATCGATGTTGACCGAACTCGCACCCAGCGTTCACTCATTTTGTTGCTTCAATGTCCGGTCCAAGTCCGGTTTGTTTGTTGCTCTTTGACGCCTCTTCATTGCCGAGCCTCTTAATCGGAGCGTCCGGTCACTTTCCGCCAGGTCTCGTTAGCTTCTTTTTGTTGTGTTGGTCATCAAACAACAAAATCCAAAGTAAAAGATCATAGGGTCATTTTTCTTACATGTTTTCTACTTTTCCGGTTTTTATTCGGATATCCCGTTTTTGGCCCACTGGAAGTTCAACCTTAGAAAATTTATATCTTTTTTCACACAATCTCGGATGAAGATGATTTTTATATAAAAGTTGTAGCTCTCGACGAGATCTATAACTTTCTAGATTTTAGTTTTTTTTTATTTGAGATCGTTATGATGTTCAAAAAATTAAATAAAGTTTTAGCAATATATTAATCACATACAAACGTTTGTTGCTTTAGAAAATCATATCTTTCTTATATGGCGTCAAATGAAGATACTTTTTATATGAAAGTTGTAGAACTTTTTACTTGTTATGCATTTGGTCATGCACTTATTAATTGTTATGCATTTTGTCCTATGTGTCAAGATTCTGTATTGATTTTTTTCGTATATTGACCATGTTTTACATAATTCCACTCAAATTAGTTTGTTTTTAAAATTTTCGATATTCGTAAGTTCGTGTTCGTTTTCATCTCCGACTTTATCGTTTTCGATTTCGCTTTTATATTCAAATGTACAGGTAAAAAAAGGTCGAGGGATTTTCTGACTGCCGTCCGTTTTCATCACTAGTTGCAAACTGCACTGCACAGCTAGGAGGTATACGAAGCGTCGCGAATCGATGGATGGATCTTTTCTAGAACTAGAAGGCGCTGTCATCGCTGGTGATGTCTCCCCACCTGACGTTGTAGTTGGCGGCGAGGTAGTGCGCGCCGACGGGGCCCCTGCTGCCGTAGGGGTAGAGCTCCGGCGCCACCTTCTTGTCCTCCAGCTCCCTGAGCACGGGCGTGAAGATGGCCCAGGCGGCATCGAGCTCGTCGCTCCGGATGAAGAGGCGGCGCTCGCCCTCCATGGCGTCCAGCAGCAGGCGCTCGTACGCGTCGGGGATCTCGCGGCGGTAGCGCTCGGAGTAGAGCAGGTTGAGGTTGCTGCGGTCGAGGCGCATGCCCAGCCCGGGCACCTTGTTGTTGATCTTGAGGTAGATCGCCTCGTCGGGCTGCACCCGGAGCACCAGCTCGTTGGTCGCCTTGTCCAGGTCCGTGCCGATGTTCCGACGGTACAGGTTGCCCGGCACCCGCCGGAACTGCACCCGGATCTCCGCGCTGCAATGCAATGCATTCCGGTCAGTATTTCACAGATCAACTTGCTTGCTTTCAGTTCAGTTCAGCAGCAAGAATGTACCGTACCGTCGTGTGTGCAGCGCCTTGCCGGCCTTCACGAGGAACGGCACGCCGTCCCAGCGCGCGTTGTCGATGAAGAGCGCGGCGGCGGCGAAGGTGGGCGTGACGCTGCCCTTGGGCACGGTGGGGTCGTCGGCGTAGCCCGGGTAGGACCTGCCGCCCTTGGAGTGGCCCTTGTACTGCCCCACCACCACGTCCTCCAGCTTCAGCTGCCGCATCGACCGCAGCACCTTCACCTTCTCGTTGCGGATGTCCTCGGCGTCCAGGCTCACCGGGGTCTCCATGGCGAACAGGGCCAGGATCTGCACCAGGTGGTTCTGCATGATGTCCCGGATGATTCCGTAGTTGTCGAAGTAGCTGCAGACAGACATTCAATCCAACGCCATGAGCTCATGATCGGTTGATCGACCTTCATTGTTTGAAATTATACTGAACAGTGAACACTGAGTTTGCAATGCATGCATGAACATGATGAACTGAAGAAGGCATTGCAGAGTGCAGACAGACCCGCCTCGACCCTCGGTGCCGAAATCTTCAGAGAAGATGAGCTGCACATTCCGGATGTAGTTCCTCGACCACAGCGGCTCGAAGACGAGGTTGGAGAAGCGGAGGACTGAAAGATTTTCAACTAGTTCCTTGCCCAGATAGTGGTCGATCCTGCAGATCGTTGCAATTATTGTTCATTTCGTACGTTTAGTCCAAGATAAAGTGATGATCAGAAACTGTTCGTCATATGCATCACTTGCCTAAATATTTGCTCCTCGGCTAAGTACTTCTTCAAGGACCGAGTGAGTTCGCCTGAGGACTCCGAGTCGCGGCCGAATGGCTTCTCCACTATAAATCTCGTCCACCCGCTTGAAGATGACGCGGTACGGCTAGCGGATCTTACGACATCCACAAATATGTTTGGTGGGATCGACAGGTAAAACAGCCTGTTCGGTAGCCTGCCTGCCTGACGACACACACACATAGAGTGGCCATGCATGAATTCTTCATAAGCATTAGCATGGTCATTTCACATTGGCACAGAAAGCAGCATCTTCTGACAACCTTAATTAGAGGCCAACTCAGGTGATGTTATGTTGGGATTACCTCTTTTTCTTTAAGCTTTCTGTCTAACTCAGCAAACCCCTCCTCTGAGTTGTACTGCCCAGACTGGTAGAAGCACCTCTTCAGAAACTGTTCCATCTTGTCACCGCAGTTCTCCCTTTCAGTCAGACAGTCATTCATCAAATAGAGTTTGCATCATATTCAGAATACAACTTTAATTTGGTGATTATGAATAATGTATACAAAACCCAGTGTGAGTTTTGAAATTAGTTGGAGACTCGAGAAGCTTAAACGAATTACAGTACATCGCAGACTGAATCCTGAACTGCATTCCTATTCTTTTTTTAATTACAAAACTACTAAAGCACATTTGAACGCGAAGCTAGTAATGCAATGCCACAGTACAGAGCACCATTTCCCCTATTTAGCCAGCCAATCAGATAACTGATGGTAACATAAAAACTGAGGCATGGCGAAAAATTCTCGTGTACAAATCACACAGCAAGAACTGAACCGTTCAAGTGTAGCTACGCCGAATGAGTAAATAACAGTGCAAAATATGTGAACAGACAGTACCTTTTGTCGATTCGACACGTCAGAGTCGTGCTGATCATGTTCCTGAGCTCTTCGTCGCTCATCTTGCTACGGGCATAACCAAAAACTGTAAAATGCTGCACTGTCCATGGTTACTTGTCTGAAACTCCAAAACAGGCAGGTTCACGGCCGAGCAGCAGAGCAAGCTCAGTGACGACTGACGAACCTCTGGAAGGCAGTCCTCGTAGAACAAGGCGAAGAGGGCCGGGAAGATCTTCTTCTTGGCGAGGTCGCCGGAGGCCCCGACGACGGTGATGCTGACGGTGCTCCCTCCCTGATGCCCCTGTGCTCCATCTCCCGTCGGCATCCCATCTAGCACCTCTGCAGCAAGAAAGCAAAATAATCCTGCATACAGTCAGCCATCACGCTCGCACATACAGTAGCTACTCCAACGGCAGGCGAGGCGAGCGATACCATTGCTGGTGCCGAACGAGGCACTGATCTGCGGGCGCCCATTGGAGGACCTGGCCCTGAGAAGGCGCGTTCTTCTAGTTCTAGGGACGACGATCCTGAGAGGCGAGCAATGGTGGAGCGGCTGCCTCGTCGTCGCTGCTGCTGCCTCTCGTGGGTGAGCTGAGACTGAGAAGGCGGGCGGGTGGAAGCTCAAGGCCGCCGTGGCGGCCATCGCATCAGTGGAGCGGGAAGGGATGGCTGCGAGCATTAGTCCGTTTGGATCGACCGGAGAGATGGTAGATTTGGATATCGATTTTCAGGGATGGACGTTGATGTTCTTGGCGAGTGCTTTGTGAACAATGGTGACAGTTGGAGGTTGTGGTCCAGCGATAAGTGGTCACGGATAATGCGTCCTCCAAGATATTTCTTTTTAAATGTCTAGTCAATAAAATGTTGTTTTACCCTCCTATCAACTAAATTTTTCTTATATATTTATTCTGTCTTATAGCTATATTTACACTGCATTTTTAATATATTTACAATGATTTCTTTAATATAATTTATTAGAAACTGTGATGTAATTTATGAATAACACAAATATATGTCAAATTTTTCAAAAAGATTTATAAATTATTTCTATAAATTTTAGACATCAGAGAAATATATATCAAATTATTCATAAATTCTTCAAAAATAAAAATAAAAAACAAAATCCACACAAGGAGGTGAGAGAGGAGAGATTGTCGCAGGGTGTTCTGTGCTCGCGTTCGTGTGTCGCAGGGACACAGAGCACTAGCATGATTGCTTGCTTGACGCCGAAGCCGAGCGGACGCATGCACAGGGACACATCGCATGCACGCACGCGCCAGCATGATCGCAGGCGGTGGGAGGCCGACGCTTCCGCATCGCACGGCCCAAAAACGGTTGATAACAACTTGCAAATCAACCGGTTAATCATTAGCCTTTCTGTTCTTTTTTTCCCCTCTTGCTTCCTCGATGGTCTAGGAACAGGGTAGTCCTGGAGTCCGGACGGTCAGGAGGTAGTGCTGGAGCCCGGACGGTCCGGACGGACGCATGTTCGGACATCGACGCTACACTCTGTTTTCCGACATGCGCCGCACTTCACACCCGCGCTTGCGCCAGCATGACTCCGCCCGTGCTCCCACGCGGGGCCACCGCCGCCCGAACGTCGTGTGCTCCGCCACACTGCGCGTGGGACCGCTCGCGTCCCATCTCGTTTTTCACGTGCATCCCTATATGCAACACCCCCATCTACTTTTGAAACATTCAGATGCAACACTTGCAACATGTCTAAAAACAGATGAAATACTTGAAACATGTTTGTGAAACACTTACAAAAACACTTTAAGACGCTTAAAAATCATTGTAAACATATGCAACACCCAGATAAAATACTTGCAATATATGTGTAAAAACATATAAAACATCTAGATAAACACACTTGCAACATACGTCTGAAAACACATATGTCTGAAAACACAAATGAAACATTGGGAACATACGCTTCCAACATATGTGTACAACCATTGCAACATATAAAACATCTTGATCTATTTTTGCAACATCCATCTGAAACACTTACAACAACATCGAAATACTTGAAACATACACTTGCAACATCCATTTTTTCAACCTTCTTCTGTACGACGCAGAGCAAAGTGAGGAACGGCCAGTTCCGGCCAGTCGGCGGCCGAGGATGGTGGCGCGGCATGGTAGCGGCCAGCTGCGTCTGCGTCTAGCCTGGGCCCGACCAACAATGGCCCCCTCTCCTGGTCGCATGGCCACACGCAACATCCGGGTGCCTACACGACTGTTGCTAGGTTGGCCCGGCAAGCCAGCAAAACCGGCGAGCGGCTAGACCCCGGTGGTGGCGAGGAGGCTTGCCGGCTCGTTGGACGTGGCCGTGGCAAGCAGGCAGCATGGGTGCGACGGTGCAGAACGCAGCGAGGTGGAGTTGGGAAGTCGTCGAAGCGTCTAGTTTTCTTAGAAGCCGTAGAAGTTGCCCAGCATGCTTGTTGACCGGTCCACGGGCCTAGGTAGCAAGTGTTCTGTAGCATTAACGTTAGGAATAAGATAAGATACTCCCTCCACGAGGAATAAATTGAAGGCCTTCCTTGCGTTCGGCTACTGTTCATCACTGTGGCTGACATGATCTTTTTCTCTTTTTTCTAGTTTTGTTTTTTTTCTCTTTTTTCCTTCACGAAAAATTGGTTGACGTGTAGAAAAAGCCAGCGCAGCGTAGCGCGCCACATCGTGCTAGAAATTAGGCTACAAGACGTCTTTGCGTCACTTGCTCTGGCCTCAGGGTATCTCCAATCTCCCACAGCAATGTCGCTTACAAAAGTGCTTGGCATGGCTCTTAACTCCGAGATTCGTACAGAAACTATCTGTAGGATAAAAATAAACTAGAGTGGTCTAAACATATATGTTTAATTTAAATTAATTAATAGCAAAATTGCTTAATTAAATATATTTGATATGCCTACAACTTTATCTCTACAGGTTTTTTTTATCCACTCATCCAAAAAATTTTGCGACAGAGTTGTGTCAAAAAGCTATGTCTACTATATATAATTGAGGGAATGTCCACGGGACAAAAATTCCAGCAGCCGGTTTTAAGGCGGTTACAACTCTCACTCTTCGCCACATAGGCCCCTTTACAATCCCACTCATCTTATCAGTTATCATGATCAAAAGCCTCAGGTCTAGTGACAGACACAACAAATATTTTATCAGATGTCCAAGAGCCGAGGTGAGTTGGCTTCTACTGGTTTTTCAAGAAAAAAAAACTATCACTTTGCAAAATTCACCCATGTGCGTCAAGTGCAAAAGAGTGACTATTATATAAAGCATAAATGAGTTTTGCAATAGCAGGTTTCATACCTAATCTCGCATGACAATTCTACAAATGTAAATCGCACAAAGTAAATGTGGAAAATAAAAGAGGGGGTTAGAAAGACAATCATTTCACCCGAAGATGTTGGAGATCCGACACTCATGTTTCACTAGAATGATTCGAGCTATCCCTAGATAAGATAGAATCCACCATTTTCTGTCACAACCTTGTTCGTAATGCCCCGACAAGTTGTTCTTGAAGTTTGAATAATTTGGACAGCAGTTTCTTCAGAAAAGACATAGTAACTCATTGAAGATATTATCAAACCACCCAATTTCTTGAATTCAATTGCATAGCGCCTACGGTTATCACTCCGCATTTCCTCAAAAAAAAGGTTAATCACTCCGCAACCGACGTGTAACAGTGTTTTTGCATCTTCTGAATTGCCTGATCTAGGCCATCTTCCACATTGTCATCAACTAATGGGTGTAATCTTGGTCAACTAGTCTCTTTCTGACACGGATTGTTTGGAAGTCTTGTTGGGTGGTTTCATCAAGTTCTCACCATCTTCCCCATGTGTAGTCCAACTCATATAGTTTTTGTTTTCTTTTGAAAATCCCTGAAAAGCAAATAATATTACAGGAGCTCAATGTTGCGAAACTACTTCTGATTCTTGCAGTCAACACATGAGGATGTATACAAAATCATCATCTCACAGATTGGCTGGGTTGTACACTAACCTATTCTTACTGGCGCCATGTTCCACTGCTAGTGCTAAAAGTCAGTGAAAATCGCGAACTTCACGGGCGTCTTCTAGAGAACCACCACTATAAATGATTTACACTTGCTGTTTTCTTAAAAAACCGTCACTACAAATGATTTTCAAAAATTAGAAACCGGGCTAAAAAAATAGCAAAAAAATTATCTAAGGAGGTTCGCGCACAAGGCAGCCACACACGGTTCTGAATGTTTTCATTCATTTTCGCAAGCCTCACGCGTTACGCACCTAACCACTACACCCCAAAGCCACTTGTGACTAAATAGTAGAAACATACCCTAAGTATTCACTACCATAGATTTTAAAATTTGAGATTTCAAGACCTAAACGGATTCAAATGAAAAAAGTTTCAACTACAAACTTTTAGATTCGTCGAGATCTACAACTTTGCTTTTGATCGTTTTCTTATCGGAGGCCATTTGAGAAATTCAAAAAATATAAATTTCAAAATCATTAATCTTAAAACATAATTTCTACGCCTAAATAATTTTAAATATAAAAGTTGTCAACTAGAAAGTTATTGATCTATTTGAATCCTACAACTTTTTTTAGACCATTTCTCCATTCGAGATCATTTGAAAAAAAAGTCAAAAAAATTAATTTCAAATTATTTGTAGTTTCGCTAGGTTATGAAAACCACCACTATAAATACATTTCTACGGACAGTTTTCTTAATGCTACCGCCGGTAGAAATCATATATTTTTACTGACGATAAATTTAAGAAAACAACCAGTAAAAATAAATTTATACTGACGGTTCATGGTCTGGATTCATAGTTTTATTTCTAGTGACGCCAATACATTACCATCCGACACTGAAAATTTGCCATCACCAAGAGAAATCGCTGCTGTACTAGTGGTACTTGTACACCTTGGTGGTTCACAAAAGAATCTACGCCATTCACAAACTCGTCGATAGTCGTTCTAGTATGTTATAAGCCGTGCATCCATCCTCAATTCTTGTGTATGAACGACAAAATAGGTATGACAATGGATAGAATTAAGATTCCATAAATATGCACAAACATAGGAGGTGGTAATTCAAATTTTAAATTGTTGCATCCATGAGATATTTTGTGAAAAAACGACATGTTCGCTTGGACTTATCAGCCCGGCTTATCAGTCATGGTCAGTGTTTTTTTCTCACAATAAAAAAGCATCAGCCGACTTATCAGCCGCAAAATAAAGAAATTGTCCTCTCTTTTTGAAGTGTTTTTTTTTGCAGGCAGCTCGTATATCCTAAACATGTATATGTAAAGTTGGTGTGAGATTTATGATGATAACTGAGAAGACAAACATTTGTTGCAGCAAATGGTCTACATGACAGCTACGACAGCTACCTACCTACACGATGACGTTAACTACTACTCCGGACTAAGTTTGAGTTGGCGTTAAGAGCAAGACTAATAATACAGTCAACCTATTGTCTGTAAAGTTCTTTACGACCTTCTCTTATTCCACCATATAGTAGTTGGGTCTGTCTCCGTAGTAGGTGGCTGATGGTCACGTGATATACATGTAATGTTCCGTAGTACATGATGTTCTACAATGTTATGATGTTCACATAGTATACATGTGATGTTCTATGTTGTTTTTT